GTCGGAATGAGGCTTACCATATGAAACTGGATATATAACCCGTCACTGTAGTCTATAGGTAATTGTGTTAGGCGATTTATGGCCTAATGTAGTGCCCAGAACGTGCTATCCGATACAAGACATTGATCAATTATAGCTAATGTTTCCCAGCTATTAATAATATCTCAAGTCTGGACAAACATACGGTTAGCATTTTTTTATGATTTTTATGTTTCTTTGTTATTTTTTTCATATCTTTCTTTCTTTCTTTCTTTGGAAATGATTTGATGGCGGACTTGCCTAAAATATACTGAATTCATGTTTATTAATGTTTATTAATACACAATATAAACTACATGCAATTTAATTTCTATTGAAAACTATTGACTTTTTGCTGTCATTGATATATAGCTTTACTTTAAAATATAGACAATAGATTATTTTGTTTGAGAAATGTATCATTTTCAATACATCTTTTGTGTTTTACTAAACGATAATAGATGGAACATTTCTTCCGTTTTCCACCACGTCCCTATCCTACCCAATCCCCCTTCTAATCCTATCAACTCCAAGTTCCCATCTCATTGCATGTAATTGCGGCAGCTAGAAGCTCCTGATACTACTGTATTTCTATATATACACTTATAAAAGTAATATAAGTTATGATTCAATTTCTGTGCAAATTTTGTTCAAAGGCTTCTTAACTAGCACAGGATAAAGGCCGTAATACAACCCATTTGTCTTAATTTCTTTTTAATATTCGCGTATAATTAACTATGTCGAGGTAAAAGCCATCTAACATTTAAGCTGATACTCTTGCCACTTTTTTGTGGCATGTCGTAAAATATTAATATACCCAGATCAAACAGATGGCGCAAACATAGTTAGAATATTAATAAATATTAATGTTATTATAATTTATCAGAGCTTATAACATACAGCTTGACTTTCAAACTTTGAAAATGTTAAAGAAAGGCGGCTAAACTAAAGAAAAAAGAATAGTTTTATAAGAATTACGTTTGCCTCTACTTACAAGAACAGTATACACTGAACAAAACTTATAAGCCTCCATCGCATATTGTGATAATTGATTGATTATTACTTGAATCTTTTTACTTTTCTTAAAATCTTTTTAATTTTTTTATCCAAGTTTGATTGTTTTGAAATATATTTTGGCTCATCTGGAGGCATGCAGCTTAAAAAGGGCCACAGGCGCATATTTTCATCAATTGTATGACTGTGTGTGCCCTGCTGGGCCTAAGTGTAATTGGATTAAATATTGTTGGAAATGAATAGAATTGTTCCGTGTGCATTCGGGATAAACTGTTTAACCTCACATGTAATATAAGTTTTGTTTAAATGTATTCAAACAATTCTCACAATATGCCGTTAACATCGGGGTTCTTTAGCTTTGTTAGTGTATACCTACATTGTTGATTTCTATAATATGAAAGTTGTGACCTGAAAAATGGCCTCTTGATAAACATGTTGTTTGTTTTTTAAAATGATGTTTCCTTGTTCTGGTAGCTTTTAGTCAATCATGTATAAAGTGCTTTGCTTTCTAAAAGAATGTATATGTTTAGACTTTTTGGTCTGATAGGGCCAGAAAAGCCGAAAGCCTGCTGTAGGCAACAACCAATAGATTCTACCCAAGTCATGTGACCAGTGCAGACCAAGATCAGCCGACACAACCTGATATAATGACCATACATTCGCTATTCAGTCAGTATTTTTGTTGAAAATTATGCCCAAAAATGATGGATTATAAGATGAACAAGCCCGTTTAAAATATTAAGTGTGGTAAGTTGTTTTAAATGCTTTATAGTGTTCAAAATGGATTTATGCTTTTGCCGGTGCTAGAGGGCCATCAGAGATGTTGTACTTTCTATTTCCTCTCATGAACAGATTCAATCAAACCAAGTCTGCAATTCTCATTTTTAAACTTTGTTTTCTTTGCTCTCGAGGGCCCTCCCCTTTTCAAGATTTTAATACAATAGAGTTAAATGTACTTCTGTTCATGCTTCGACACACTTTTTTTTATTTCGTATGCGTGATGCATGCAAAGCACATTTCTACAGAAAGAAATATGTTACAACTTATTAATGAAATACAGTCATAAATTACATCTGTTAATGTTGCAATTAGAGTTTAAATTTATGTTTCAGATCATATAACCATCATCTCATAAACGTCATAATTATTATCATGACGTCATGTTGCTGAAGACAAAGACCGTATTTTACATAACGCTATATTCTCCATTTTAATAAGTTCTTTCTTGCACTATTTTAATCATTGTATCTGTCAGAAAAGACGTGTGATGTGCCATCAAGTACCAATTGACCTTAACTAACAAAAAATAAATAGATTAATACTTACATAAACATGCGGGAAGGGTCTTGTTACTTCAACATTACAACATTCATTTTGTCATAAATGTCGAAAATAGTTAACAATTTAAACTTATGTTTCGCTTCTAATGTAACTTAGACGTTTTAAACTGAAGTTTATTGCAAATTGGCAAGGAAGCACAATGTTTTGTTAAGTATGAAGTCACGAATTACCGAAAAGAAATAAAAACTAATGTTGTCAGTGAAATGAATAATGAGGTTTCATTGATCGCGAGAATAACGTGCACAAATTGTGTGTATTTTCAATTTCGGTTTTATGAATGTTGGAATTGTGTTTATAGAACGCTGTCGTAAAAAAGAGCGACGGCGTGATGTATGAGCGGTATAACGTGACACGTCACGACATGGACCAATTATCAACACCAGCGTCACTAACTTAATGCATTTATCACTGGACAAATGGGTCCAAAATTTAATGAAGATGTCCATATAAACATATATTTACATGTGATGACATTTCCAACATCGGTTAATTGCTTTGTAAATTAGGTTACTGATTGAAAAGTGCTTAATTAATCGAACATGTTCACATGTGAATATTGTCACACGAACACATGTTTTGCACTTAAAAATGTTCACATGCGCGTAATTTCGCGTGTCAATATGATCACATGCGAATTTATCCACACGCAATTATGTTTCACAGATCATCTGACTACAAATGAATAGGTTTGCATGCGGAGATGTCCGCATATTAATATGAGCATATGTTCATATTTTAATATGTTCTCATATTAAAATGTTCATATGTAAACATGTTCACATTTTAGTATGATATTATGCTGAAATACATGAATTTACATAAATGTTAGTGTCGACATGTGAAAATATTCAAAAATCCCCATGCACTGATGCTCACGTGTCAATTTATTTACATTTTAGTCTGAATGTTAGACTATAATTCATAAATTTACTTAAATGTTATAAAGTGTCTACATATAAAAGATTGAAAAATCAACATTTACTGATGTTCGCATGTAAGTTTGTTCACATTTTAGTGTGAATATATGACGTGAATTTTCTTAAATGATAAAATGTTGACATAAGAAAATATTTAAAGTTTCCCATGTACTGATCATATGAACATATCAAAATTGTGTATGTATACATTTATGCATGTTTAACTTTTAGGCTGATGGCGGGAACTGAATATACCTATGCAACCAGTGCAGACCAAGATCTGTGCCGTCTGACCATGGTCTGTACTATTCGTTTATTCAGTCAGTATATGAGCCGCGTCATGACAAAACCAACATAATGGGTTTGCGACCAGCATGGATCCAGACCAGCCTGCGCATCCGCGCAGTCTGATCAGGATCCATGTTGTTCGCTATCAGTTTCTCTACTTGTAATAGGGTTTGTAAGCGAACAGCATGGATCCTGATCAGACTGCGCAGATGCGCAGGCTGGACTGGATCCATGCTGGTCGCAAACCCACTATGTTGGTTTTGTCATGACGAGGCTCATATATTTTGTAAGTTTCCAAAATATAATGAACGGTTCTGTCCAGACAAGTCCATTTAAGATATATAGCGTGGCAAGGGTTAAACCATTAAATGAAATGGTCAGCACTATTCGTTATTTACTCAGTATATACTTTGTAATTTCCCCTAAAAATAATGAACGGTCCTTTCCGGATTGAAAGATGGACAAGTCCATTAAAGATATTTAGCATGATAAGGGTTAAATCATTAAATTAAGTGTTTTATCAAATACAATGCCTTAGATATGCTGTTTCGTAATTAACACAATATTACAAAAGTTAAAAATGTTCAAAGCAGAAATACACCTACATATGATTAAAGTAGTGCATTTATGGTAGCAACATTCAATTTTCCGCGAAATAATATAACTTGACGCATGCATCAAATAAAACTTAACTAAATCCTCCTCTGCACTTTGGATGAGCCGTATTTCCATTACTACATGCTAAAATGCAATATATTACGGTTGGTTTTGATCGTCGGCCCGTGTTTTACGATACATCAGCCCGGCAGTTAGCTTAAACCATGCTAATAAACCATCTTAGCTTTTCTTTAATTTAATAGTATATCCCCATAAAACTCAGCTAATTTAGCATTAAACGGTACTAAATAAGAAAATAAGGAAAGCTTCACATTTGTAATGTAATAAATGACAGCTCTAAGAATAAGTGGCGCCAACAAGGTGGAAATTATTACAGGGTTTAGGGTTTCCTCTGGTTACAAACAGACCACACATAAAACACTACATAATACATTCGATACTTTGTATGTGAGATATCACGGAGACATCTTTTTAACGTGTTAATTTGTTATTTTCAATTATTTTGACGTTGAAAGTATCAATTGATTTTTTGTCCTTATAAGGCTCACTGACGATGATTATGATGACAATGATGATCACGATGACGATAATAAGGATGACGAGAAGAAGAAGAAGAAGAAGATGTTAATGATAATGCTGACGATGACGATGTGAATATAATGGTGATGATGATGTTGATGATAGTACTGACGATGTGATGATGATTATGGTGGTGATTATGATGATGATGATGACGACGATGATGATGATGACGATGACGACGACGACAATGACGATGACGATGATGGTGATGATGATAAAAAGAAGAAGATGATTATGACGACGACGACGATGTTGATGCTGATGGTGGTAGTGGTGATATTATTGTGGATAATGGAGATTGTGATAATGAGGTTAAAGAGAAGATGGATGGTGATAATGAGGAGAAGGATGAAAACGGCGACGACGATGATGGCTATGATGATGTATATAATGGTGATAATCAAGATTGCGATGGTGATGAATAATCATAATTGGTGAAGGTCAAGTTGTAGATCTCCTAAAGTATGAATTGATGTAAAATCTGAAAGAAAACTCTCCTTATTTTAAATAGGCCTTTATCATAAAATGTATACATAATATATTATAATTGTTTACGTATATTTAGAATAAAACGAGAAAAAATAGAGGCGAAACAATCGGTATTTCGGAAATTGTTTAAATATCAAAAACCGCTGATCATCCAAGATCTTTATTAACAATTCTCACTTAATACGTACTTTGCTACGATGATTTCTTTTCAAGTCAGAATTTAACGTAATAAACATAGGAATAAGTTATTTTGTAACTCATCAACAAAGCTATTTTATAACACTTGATAATGTTACCCGATAAACTCCCAGACGGATTATACTCATCATTTACGTTTTTTACAAAGTTAATAAATGTAACATAAATGCGTTTAACTCATTATGAAACCCCCGTGGCTCAAAGGCACGGTGCAATCAAAATTCCTTTTTGTATGGGTATAAGAATATTTTACGATGGAACACACAGGCTGCGGTTTTTAGGGTATAATTTTTTTCTATATCCATTAAAAAAAAGTTTTTAAAAAACATTACCTGACATTTTCAAATTCATGATTGATGAACTCATTATGATGTTATCATGATCACACGAGATAAAATTACCTCCGCATCATTACAGTTATCTAATATTAATTAATACATGGCCTTTCATCTCCCTCCTCGCACCGCCTTCCGTGAGAATATTGTTAAAATATTGTTAAAACAGCATTACTAAATAATGCCGCACAAATAAACAACATACATAGATGCATGCATGCATGCTTTGTCAAAAAGAATATATGAGCCGCGCCATGACAAAACCAACATAATGGGTTTGCGACCAGCATGGATCCAGACCAGCCTGCGCATCCGCGCAGTCTGATCAGGATCCATGCTGTTCGCTATCAATTTCTCTACTTGTTATAGAGTATGTAAGCGAAATTATTTGACATATATAAAACTTAATAATGATTTAAATTCATGTACAAATACATTTTCTCATCAATGTAAACATATCTACTACAAAAAATAACGCCAACATTATGAATAAACTGCAAAAATACAATATTTTGTTCAATTCGTACGTTCACACACTTGACATAGATTGTATACTTTGCGACCTTGAAACAATTTGTATATTTACAATCTGTACACCGTTTATTTCCTATTCGCAACCAAGACATAGTGTGTATATTTCCAACCTTGGCACACTTTTTTCCTTCACATCAGTAACACAATTTTATATGTTTACAGCATTGACACAATTTGTATGTTTACAGCATTGACACAATTTGTATGTTTACAACATTGACATAATTTGTATATTTCCAACCTTGACACAATTTGTATATTTACAATATTGACACATTTTGTATACATGTATTTTCAACATTGACACAATTTTTTTTACATTAACAACATTGACACAATTTTTTTTACATTTACAACATTGACACATTTTTTTTACATTTACAACATTGACACATTTTTTTTTTTACATTTACAACATTGACACAATTTTTTTTACATTTACAACATTGACACAATTTGTATATTTACAACATTGACACAACCAATTAAAATGTTAACAACAAATACGCATTTTGTTTTTTAACGACCACGATAAAATATTTGTTCATTTAAAACATTGACACAATTTAGAATTGTACATTTACAACATTAACACAATTTGTTTTCACTTCCTTAAATTTTTTGTGTATTTTCGTAAGATTTTATATATTCTTTCCATCTTAAACTGTCAATATTGTATGAATTATGTAATAAACATACATTAATAAGAAAAAATATAAACGTTCTAAACAGGAAAAAAACTGTTTTTTCTTTTTATTCAAGATTATATTTGTAATTTATGTCATTCCTGGAGATAGCAATAATTACACGATGAGGAAATATAAAACATATTTAACAATATTTTCATTTTAATAGGGATAAAAAAAAATCCATACCCATTTATCGTTATTATTTATTTTATATTCGAGTTTAATTACATGGGAATGAATTATCGTGCACATTCCATTAATGCTTGTACACATATTTTGATAGATATACCAATTTTTTTGGAGAACGAATGGGACTTTTAAAGAGGGTATTAATGAACCTTTAGGTAAAAACGAGCCATACATCAAACGTTTATTTATGCATAATTCACGTGCACGGCGTAATTTAACTTGTATTATGTTGAAGAGAAATGAAACATTAACAATATCTGCCGGCGCCTTTCTAACCTTTTTGCTACATTAATAGTTCATATTATGACGTTCTGATCCCTAAGATAATGTAAATAAGCGCATTGCCTGTAGGTGATGGATCGAGTTCTCTTTTGATAATAATCATAAGGATTGAAATAAATGTTTTACATATTCTAAAAGATTACCTATAGTACAGATATAATGATGTTTACACGTCACTGTACAGATATTGTTCAAGGAAGTCGACTATCGTCAGATAACCAAAGTTCCTATATTTGATGATTTATCTAATTTTTGGCTGATAATAACAACAAAATGTCTTCTACAAAGTGATGATAAAAATTGTATAAAATATAAGCATCTGATATCAAAAATTTTCGAAACACGAAACTATGAAATACTTGGTTGAATATCTAAATGTTAAGCATGTGATTTACCATGTACACTGAAGCTATTGTCAACAATACATGATTTTGGTAATGACCATTCGAAATGACGCCTCAGTTACTATAATATATTCAAATATTAAGACTGATGGACTTGTTGGCAATAGCACGTCAATGTATAAGCACGGCACTATCTGATGATAGCTCGCCAATAGCTGGTAATACAGCGTCAATAGCTACTAATAGCTGGCAATATAGCGTCGATAGCTGGTAATAGAGTGTCAATAGCTAATAATAGCGAGTCAATGGTTGGTAATAGCGCATCGATGTCTGGTAATTGCACGTCAATAGTGCGTTAATGGCTGGTAATAGAGCGTCAATGGCTGGTAATAGCACAACAATGTCTGGTAATAGCGCGTCAAGAGCACGTCAATGGCTGGTAATAGAGCGTCAATAGCCAGTAAAAGCGAGTCAATGGTTGGTAATATCACATCAATGTCTGGTAATAGTGCGTCAAGAGCACGTCAATGGCTGGTAAGAAAGCGCCAATAGCTTGTAATAGCGAGTCAATGATTGGTAATAGCACATCAATGTCTGGTAATAGCGCGTCAATAGCACGTCAATGACAGGTAATATAGCGTCAATAGCTAGTAAAAGCGAGTCAATGGTTGGTAATATCACATCATTGTCTGGTAATAGCACGTCATGGCTGGTAATAGCACTTTTATATCTATGATTATTACACCTGATACACTTTAAATGGTGATTCGACAAATATTCTAGAGATAGAACCCGAAACAATAAAAATGTGATCTCCGGATTAATAATAACTGTATATCAGCAAGTGATATATGAAATATATTTGTTCTGTTTGAACTGAAATTCAATGTGGACTTAAAGAGTTCGTAATAATTATAATGTAATTTATGGTTATACAATCATGTATTTCTTTTCACAAATGAGTAAATTGCACAGACTCACTCCGGAAACCATAAAACAATTCAATGGAAAGACCCAATAAACATTATATTTTTTCCATACACACACTTTTCCTGTTTACAGACTTTAATTTGAAAATGTTTTATGGTGGTATTGTATAGCAGACATTTTAAGTTTTCATCAATTTCAAATATATACTTGTGTCTTATTGAGCATTGCCCATTAAGATTATTTATGTGAGCATGGCAGGGATAATTTAGAAACGAGTGTCAGCCGATCCAATATTCGCTTGATATAGTACTTCTTTAAGGACATTTATCCCTAACTTATGCTATTTGTGTATATGAATTATCCGACGGTATAATTACAAGTCTATGAAATATGACTGTTCTACCAACTCTCAAAAGCCTATCTTCATGATTTATTTCAAGTATAATTTATGATTATGGACACATTAATGATACGTCATATAATACGTAATTTATTTTATATCCTCGATGAATGCAAACACAAACAAATAAGGACACTAATAAATCAGCAATAAATATTATAATCAGTGATAAATTAAGTTATTCGAGAAATCTGATGCCCCTTTAGAAAACATTGAAATGTCCGGTTTGAACGAAAAGACATTTGTAAAACCGCGGTACACCGTCGTCATAAGTTGTTTTTCGCCTCCTACCGGCAGTAGAGTAATATGTTTTTGACTGACATTTAAATCAATCATTCTATATGGTAAATTTGAATACAAATACGCTTTTAAACGCTGAACATAGGTTAAATCAAATGTGTTTTTGTATTTCGATTGGTTGATGAAATAGAATACTATTTTGATAGGAAGAATATAGCATGTAATATTTTTCCCAAAATAGCTATAACTGAAAACGCCACTTACAAAACCAAAAAAGAATACTTTGCGTATAGCAAAAGTCAACAAAACATTTCATTTTAAATGTATAATACCCGTTTATGGCTGCTGTTAAGAATTAATCATTGCTTGTTACATGAGAAAATTCCTCTAATTATATATTCAAATGTTGAGTGAAGTGAGTTTTTAGACATTTACTATGAAATTTTGTCATTGGTCAAAATGTTTTAATTTCATTTTATATTCTCTGAATAAATAATAATAATAATGAATAATAATAAAAAAAAATAAAAAAGATGTGCGTCGGCCGGGAATCGAACCCGGATCGACTGCTTGGAAGGCAACCATGCTAACCTTTACACCACCGACGCTTGTGATTATTTGAATTGAAAATTTACATTGTATTTATAGAAAAAGTAGTTATCAGTAATACATGTTGATGTAACCCATAAGTGTTGGAAAAATTTAATTTAAATTTTATACATTGGAACATGAATGAAAGATTGTGAGCAGAAATTTCATTTTTAATGCACAATAATGATCTTAATAATGGAGAAT